CTCAGCAGTTCTGAAGGTCGGGAGTCGGTGCTGAGGTAGATTTTGCTCTTCCATGCCCACCCTCCTTAATGGGTGCTTTGTATCAACAGTGCTTTACTCATTTATTTTGTGAAAAGATGCCCCTTTCGACCAATTGGTTCCCAGGGTAGTTCCCAACTAATACAAGAGCCAAAGGCCCATTTAGGCCAGCATCCTGCTCTCACAAAAAGAAGTATCCAGATAAATAATAAGTACAAAATAATAATAATAATAATAATAATAATAATAATAATAATAAATTTTATTTATATCCCGCCCTCCCCAGCCGAAGCTGGGCTCAGGGCAGCTAACAACAATAAAATAGTGCAACATTCTAAAAACATTTCATTATAAAAATTAATTAAAATCCAATTGATGGCAAAATAAGACCAGCTGTTAAAAGAATCTGACTGAAGCAATTAGAGTTCAGAGCTTAAAAGGGCTCGGATGGAAAGAACACAACACTTAATTATTATTTTTTTAAATAATTTTTATTAAGGTTTCAGTAAAAAGTTAAACAGAAAGACATAAAAAAGAAATACACAAATACAAATACACAGTACATAATCCAAAAAAAGAAGAAAAACACAGAGAGCAGAAAACAAAAAAAAGGAACAGAACAATTAAAAACAATATCACCTTTTCATTTCCGTTTTTAAATTTACTTATTTTCTGGACTTCCTCATACCTCCCTCTTTTGTATTCCAGTCCAAATTGTTTGTCCAGCAATTTCTTTTCCACTTTTTTAATCCCAATCTTTAATCTCAATATAATATAGCATTAAAATTTTACCTCTTAAGTACCAAATTTCCATTTTGTTAAATTTCTTTAATCCTAATCTTTAATCTTAGTCTAACTATAACTTTATCCTGTACAGCTGGAAACCACTTATTTTCAATCCAACATCACTCTAACATTCTTTAATTTTGCAGTGTTTCTGTAGGTAGTCTTTGAATTTCTTCCAATCTTCCTCTACTGACTTTTCTCCCTGGTCACGGATTCTGCCAGTCATTTCCACCAGTTCCATATAATCCATCAATTTCATCTGCCATTCCTCCAGCGTGGGAAGTTCTTGTGTCTTCCAATACTTTGTGATGAGTATTCTTGCTGCTGTTGTTGCATACATAAAGAAAGTTCTATCCTTTTTTAACACCATTTGGCCGACTATGCCCAGGAGAAAGGCCTCTGGTTTCTTGGGGAGGTATATTTGAATACCTTTTTTAATTCATTATATATCATTTCCCAGAAAGCCTTAATCTTTGGGCACGTCCACCAAAGGTGAAAAAATGTACCTTCAGTTTCTTTACATTTCCAACATTTATTATCAGGCAAATGATAGATTTTTGCAAGCTTGACTGGGGTTATGTACCACCTGTATATCATTTTCATAATATTCTCTCTTAAGGCATTACATGCCGTAAATTTCTTTTTTAAAAAAAAGATATTTATTAAAGTTTCAAGAAATACAAAAAAAAATACAGAGCACAAAAAAATAATAATAACGTTTTACTAATAATAAAAAAATAATAATAACGTCTACTAGAAGAAAGAACACAACACTTAAGAGATTGTCTCTTTAGGTCCGATGCAGAAAGGGATCTAACCATGATTGCTTCTACCAAGAGCTCACCATGGTTCCCACTTATCAAAATGGAGCATGCCCGAGCCAGATACCTGACAAAGCTCCCACTTGCCGTACTAAGAATCGCTTTTACAGAACTACGATTCCAATTGATGCCCTTGGCGGTGTTGGATGGACGGTACAGCAAAGTACATTATGAAGAGAGACTCTGTCTGTGTGGACAACCCTGTGTTGAGGACCTGTGCCATTATTTATTGCAGCGCCCGTTATATATAGACCCAAGAGACCAATTTATAAAACCCCTGTGTACGAATGGAACACATTTGAATAGGGTGGAAAGGGTGAAAGGGCTGCTGAGCGACACCGACGACTTTATTACTTATAAAGTAGCAGTCTACGCACTGGCAGATAAGAAAATCAGGAGGAAGGAACTAGACAAACGAGCAGTCAACTGCAAAGGGGATTTGGATATTTAATTTGGCACATCTTACCTGAGAATCTTCTGCTATTCTATTTAATGCAACAAATAATTTTAGTAGCTGTGACTGTGGTTTTATTGTATGTTTGTGCCCGGTGATTTCTATGGTTATTGTGGTTTTTTGTTGTTGTTGTTCTCCTTCTGAATGATGCCATGGCCTATGGCTAGTGCAACAAAAAGTTTAATTGGAATTGGAACAAGCTGCCTTATGCCAGCTTGAGTCAGTGTGTGGTCATCTAGCTCAGTATTGTTGGGACTTAGGGGTAGTCACTATCCAGAGGTTTATTTCAGAGGTTTTCCCCAGTTCTATCTGGAGATGCCATTGATCCACTACTGTTTAATCGGGGTGGCAGTAGCTGTACAGGGATTCAGACAGCAGTCTTTCTCAGACCTACCCAGAGATGTCAAGGATTGACCCCAGAACCTTCTGTATGCAAAGCATGAGATTTAACAGTGAGGTACAGTCTCTCCCTTGCTTGGCACTTACAAAATACCCAGTAGGTGCCAAGCAAGCCATCCAGGGGAGGGAGGGCCATAAACTTGATGGGTGGTGCTCATATTGTCAAGATGGCCTTGACTTTAGTTACTGGGAGCTAGCGGTGTCAATTTTGATTTCTCTCACGTTCTCATCTCTCCAATAGTATATTCAGTTCTCCACATTTACACAGCAAAAGAGAGAGAGAGAAATTCTCATGGAAATTCCTCAGCATTTCAGGATTATTTTTTCCTAATCAGCACATTTCTGTTCCCACGTTTGACTGTCATTGACATTTTTTTCAATGCATTTGTGCATGCCATTTTTATTAATGTATGCATTTTTGCCACACTATTTGCTAATATATAAATACTAGTTGGCTGGAGAGCTGCATTGCAAAGTTCCCGAAGTGCAAATTTCAAAGGATTACTGCACTGTGATTTGCGTATTGTTTTGAGAAGTGTGAATTAGATTATTTTCATGAAAATGCAAACAAAATTAAAATTTCCCCCCTTCAATCAATAACATGGTGCAACCAAACTAAATATTTAATAATGATGATGATGATGATGATGATGATGATGATGGAGGAAAGATGTTGAGAAAATATTAAATTTACCGGTGGTATTGCCAAAAGCAGAACTAGCCATGAAGGTGGGAACTGAACCAAGTAATGCTCCACTTGCTTCTGGCACCATTGATTGACCCAAAAATATCTAGTGGAGTAACCAGACTCTACCTCCTAGAGCATTCAGGGAATGAGCAAAACCAGGCAACTGCAGGCTTGTATGTATGCAGAGAAACTCACACCTCTTAGTAGCTTTGTATCTTGCGGCTGAATTTTGATGTCCAGATTCAAAATGTCTGACAGAGTTTCAGACTCTGAACTGAGAAATAATCTCGTAATTGCTTGTTCAATGCCACAAGTTGCAAGGGATGATAATCGTAGCATAATCAGATCTATACAGATGCTTTTTGGGGTAAAAGAATAATAATGCATACATAATGGTGATGATGACTTGCTCCATAGGCCCATGGGAGTTGGAATCCAACTTCATCTGAAGGGTCACTCATTCCCCATTCTTGATATGCACATTTATTATTACTCTTAAAGCAGATAGGTCAAGTTAATTTAACGCTACTGGATACACTCTACTTTTACAATTTTATTTTAGGTATGCACCTAAAAATGTGATATTTGATGGCAAAGATACATTTGTAAATAGATCATATCTATATCTGTGGCATAATTGTTTAGACGGCACGCATGAGATTGCCTGTATTTCAATGATGTCATTGATTCGGAAGTTAGGCAAGTAACAGTGACAGACAGCCGTTAACACAAAAGCACAGGATGATCTCCCATTATTGTACTTATGTGACAATGACATCGTTTTGTTCCATGGACTCATCCAGTGTCATGGAGTCATGCATGATTACAAGTGGGAATCTGCAACAAATTTTTATAGTGTAGCCCCAGAAATGTTCTTGAATAGCATGTCAAGTGGCTTATGAATCTTCTAGCAGTGTTTGGGGATTTCAGGGGGAGAGCCTTAGGAGTGGAGGAAGGAAAAATGACATGTCCCCCCTTTCCCATCATCCTGAAACTGTCCCCCATTGTGATATATAGGTGGCAACCATTTTAGGCGCAACCAATTGATGTGCAATGACCAATGCATGGGTCCATTTGGACCCGGAAGAAGGCTGCATGGGGACTGAACAGGCGTAGGGTGGGGCATAACGGTGCAGGATGCACTTATACATACTCTGCTGATGTGCACAGGGGCCAGGAACAGAACCCACGTGTGAAATGGTTACCAGCTGTATAGCAGTAAAGGGCTCCTGACACTGAACCTAGCAAAGGGAGTTTCCGGGGGGGGTGAGAAAGGGGGGGAAATGTTCTTTTCTCTTTCTATGTTTCCTGAAACTTCCCCACGATTTGGGGGTAAGAGAATTTCTCAACTCTAGTGCACACAATCCTGTTCCTACACCACCTCCATGTTCTACTAGGGGTTCAAGCAAGCCAATACTCTATTTCCCCTCTCCCTTTTCCTTTCATTTTATTCTGTTCTCGGTTCAGCTGACATCTTCAACTGTCTGTGAATTAGCCGCTCTCAACATTCCATAGGCATTGGAAGTCCCTGAGCACAGATATTTATTGAGCCACTGGGTTTTTAAAGAAATCTTTTAAATTTACAAACTAGCATAATTCCACATGTCTAGGGAGTATGCAAAAGGCAGTAACTTATTTTAGGGCGACCCTATTTCATTCCCAAACCATTTCATTTCTAATAACTTAGCTACAGTATTTCTCTGCCATTCTTCTTTCTCTTCTTTGGAACAAATAATGAGTTGATGTGCATCTCCCTGCTTCTGCCCTCACCAGCTAATAATGGGAGTGGGGCAGGGACTGGGATAACATCACATATATGAGTTAGATGTCAAGAAGGGTCATAGCTCATTGGTAGAGCACCTGCTTTGCATGCAGAAGGTTCCAGGTTCAACCCTGGAATCTCTAGGTAGGGCTAGGAATTTCTCTTTGCCTGAACACTGGAGAACCACTGCCAGTCAAAGCTGAGTTAGACAATGGGTCTGACTCAGTATGAGGCAGCTTCCTATGTTCCTTTAGTACAAAGAAAAGAGAAACAAGAGGCAGCATCTCTTATGCCTGGTTTGACAAAGCAAAGTACAAAACAGAACCATGTATTTGAGCACACATATATCATACCTGTATGCCCATTACAAAGGCCATATTAACTTTAGCTCCCTGTTAATTGTAGATTTCCTTGCCAAACCAGTTTTGTTTCTGTGTAATGTGTGAAAGAGCTCTAAGGGGATGGAGTTTAGGATCTGTCTGCAAATAAGTAAAAAAACAGAATACATTCCTAATTAATTTTCCCCGGCTTTCCATTCTGCATGAGCTAATCAAGATTGCCTCCCCAGACCATTAAAATCAATGAGATATTCACAGCAGTTTTACACAAATTTATGCCAGGGTGATGTGAAAAATTAAATTAGAGAAAATGTGCACAGGCAGCTGTCATCGATGCAGAACACAGTTGTGTATATTTCCTCTTTCTATGTGGAAATCCAACAGAGACTTAAGCATCATTTTCTAGTTTCAGTCACTTTTTTGCCCAGCAGGAAATGTTAAATGTGTATATTGGGAAAAGTCTGCACTTCCAAGTAAACATACAGAAAACTAAATAAGAAAGACAAACTGCAGAAGTGAATGGGTTGGACACAGATGCTGAGGATTAAAAAGAAACCTTAGAGATTTCTGGTCCAGAGTAAGGCTATTTTTTCTGGTCACAAAAACCAAGAAAAATATATTTTAATTTTTTTCAGAACCATATAAAACTCTTTTTAAAAATAAAAAAACATTGCATTTTGATCTATTGTCCAAATGATCCACATTTTATTGCCAAATGCCTATACTTTTATGTGCTTAAACACAATGAGTTATGGAAATCTTAAAACAATGGAATGATCCTTTTTATTGCTTTCAATTTGTTCAAAGTAACAACTCCTTTTTTTGCTAAGTCAAAACTTTCTTCTTTCTCTCCATTTTATGGACTTGCAAAAATGTCTCTTCTGTTTTCAACCCTCTACATATGCATGTCATAAATACCAGGGCAAGATCCAATGCTTGTGGATAGTCCCCTCTCACCCAGACCTTTTTTTCTCAAGGAACTTTTTTATGGTTAGTGAGATTTGGCAACCTCTTCCTTAGAACCTGCTCTGACAAGATAGGCTTCAAATTCCTTGAAACAGATCCAAAAATGTGGATTCCCAGTCCCCACACTCTGTGGGAGACCCTGGCCTGTCAGTCACGTAGTGGAGTTTATAAATCTGCTAGCACTCTAGGTAATAGAAATGAAGGGTGTGTCATGGGTGGCCTATCAGTCATGCTCCTCCATCCCAATTACACCCTGCCTCTTAACATGTTTAAGGCTCCAATTTGGAAGAAGTCTGCAAACCTGGGGCTTTCAGGAATTCCCACCCCCCACTAAAAACATGTTGCAATCCAAGATGGAAGAGCCAAACTGCCTCTAGATCCTAAAAATAAATTTTAAAAAACCAATGGTATTTAACATATAGTGATCTGAAATTATTTATTTCTATAGGCCCCCTAATGGATGTTGATTATCTGCATCACTTCTGGTTCATCCTGAAGGCAGCAAGATCCTAATGATTTTGCCTTATGACTGACCTAGAAATGTCCTACATCAGACAGATTGAGATTGAAGCCACGGCCATCTATTGGGGTAGGGAAATTGCAGACCTCCAGTTGTAGCTCCTATCACCCACTACTGTTAGTCATGCTGGCTGGGGCTAATGGGAGTTTGAGTTCAACAACTTCTGGAGGGCCACAGACTCAGCATCACTGTGTCTGTAGCAAATCACTCTGAGCTATCTGGATTGTACAGTCCGATTATCTAGTAAATAACAATGTCATAAGAAAATGTAGGATGCTGTCTTACACCAGGCAAGTCTATTTGGCTATTTGCCTCATAAAGAGATATAAGTTAACCCAAACATTCCTTGACTCTGGGTCCTAATTCTTAACTTCTTTTTTTCCTTTTGTGCCTTGCTCAGTTTTGTTTATGACATATCACTTTTCTCTTCTTTTATTTAGCTTTCAGTTGAATGTTGTTGCATTCCTATATGAAATTACCTTTATTTTTTTAAAGAAAATGTTGTTAATCTTTTGCAAGCTGCTTTGAGATTTATTTTTTATATTAGGCAGAAAGTAGTGCTATAAATAAAGTAGGGTTGCCATATTTCAGAGAGTGAAAATCCGAACACAAAAGTTGCTGAGCTTTCTTAGGCAAAGTTGTTGAAATCGGCTCTTCCAATAAGGGTTGGACATTTCAGCGATTTCCACCCGGGCATGGTTCCCGATGAGGACATATAGCAACTCTAAAATAAAGTCTCATCTGCGCTATACATTTAAAGCTGTATCATGCCATGGCTTTCCTCAAAGAATCCTGGGACCTATGGTTTGTTAAGGGTGCTGAGAGTTGTTAGGAGACCCATTTTCCAGTCTCAGAACTTCAGTTTTCAGAGTGATTTAACAGTCAGTCCAGGGTACTCATTATCTCACAAGTCATATGCTGAAAGACCTCAGTGTTTCTGTTGAGTCTAGGTTTTGATTTTTTGCAGGTTTTCTGGTATTTTCTCATTCTACCACCCCAACCCGAAAATGCATACTTTCACATAATAGTAGTGTTGGATTTGTGGTACAAATGCGCAAGATAAGATAAGACAACAAAAATGAGCGATGACGCCAGGTTGGACCACATAAGTGCTCAGGGCAGAACATGGGAAACGAAAGTTTGCAAGCGCGTTGAAAATGCTGTAATGAGGATGTATAGTGCTACTTGAACTTCCAGAATAAAGATTACAAAACACCACAAATGAGCAATGGAAACCCTGTGGTGAGACTTGTTGCATATGGTCCAGGTCCAGTTTTGGAATTATAGAAAATCCACAGGTCTGTAACTGAAGTGAAGTAAATGGATAGATGATAGATAGATAGATGATAGATGATAGAGATAGATGATAGATGATAGATAGATAGATAGATAGATAGATAGATAGATAGATAGATATAGATAGAGAGAGAGAGAGAGAGAGAGAGAGAGAGAGAGAGATTGCTGTGTGCACCAGAGTTGTCTGAACAGTGAAGTGTTTCAGGAGCACAGCGGTAACTGAATATTTCTTTTTGAAATATTTTATCTGTTTACAAATATACAGGCTGTGCATAGGTGGAGGCACAGCTTTTACACTCCAAAAGACAGTCGCTACTCCCACGTCAGAACTCCAGGGGAACAGCAAGCACCCTAGGGTGCTTTTACAGAGTTAAAACTTGCTTTCTCAGCTTCTGACTCAAAACTACAGTCAACAAATGAATTACAGGAATGTTAGGTGGGGGCGGGGGGAGAAAGAAGGGAAAGAAAGATATGCCCTTTTCAGAAAGATGGTCTAATAATTAATTCCCATGGCACCATATCTCCTCTATTTGCTTAACAAAGGAATGAGCTTTTCCAACTAGATTTTATTACTTAAACCATTCTTTTCTTGGCTAGAAGGAACCCTGTAGACCAGGTTTAGCTGTGCTAAACCAGTGCAGCATGGCACAGGGACTCACTTCCGTGGCGCTGAAAATCACATCTGCACAGACGCAGATGCCGAAAATCGTGTCGCGCATGCAATCCGGCCCACAGAGGGATCTCTGCAGGACAGATCCGGCCCAGGCAAGATAAACTTTGCTGACCCCTGCTGTAGACTGCTCAGACCATCCCCCTAATCTCGTAATACTATGAACTGGGTACAATCGCTGGATTACCATGCAAGTTCCAAGACCTAGAAAGCAGATTATTTGGATGAGCCTCTAGGAATATATTCAAGATGAAATAGGTGTTCTCTATGTATGAACCATGTATTACTTCTCAAAACGAGAAAGAAGCCCTGAGTTCAGAGCATGGAATATAGATCCTCCCATTTAGACTACCCGGTGTATTACATTGCAGTTAAGTAATGCTGTCTGGTGCCCTTGAGTGACCTATGTGGAAGTAATCTGTGGGCAAAGATCGAGGATAATGGGTTGCCTTCTTTAAAAAGCCAAACTGTTCAGTCACTCTGACTTTGAGAAATTGCCTCGGGTCACAGCCCAGATAAGAGGAGGGAAGGAGGGGGATTTGTTCAGGCATGGCCCCAACGTGTCATAGAACTTAGTTCATGCTCAATCGTTGGATACCATTTGAGCTCACTCGCTTTCTTGAATACACTAGATTGGCTTGAAAAGCCAATGTTTGATATGGTGGGCACATATGGGAGGGGTGAGAAACACCCCAGCAACAGCCTCTTTCCCCAGACTATGCTTTGGGTCACATCCTCAAGTGTTTTTGTGTTGTCTTCTTGAACTCTGATGCCTCTTGCTTGCCTAGATGTGAAAAGAAGTGTGTGTGAAAAAAACTATCTTACAGCAAACAGTACATAGGGAGCTACCTATCATAGGGAGTTAGTCCAATGTTCCATCTAGGGTTCTCTCCATTTCCTGTCTGAAGATTCTTAGGATTGAACCAGGGACCTTTTGCATGCAAACTCAGTGTTCTGTCAGAGAACTATGACCCTTACTCTGCATAAAGCTTGCTTATTGACCATGTGAATCTTGCCTGGCTTCTGGGATGGCATAGTAGGTCTCTTTGTGAATTCAGACAGGAAATTCAAGCCTGCCTCTCTCTCTGGTCCACAGGTTGCTGCCTCAAATTCTAGCTATTGCTTAGTTACCTAGAGCTTCTTCAGTGTCATGCTGTAAAGACTTCTGGATTTACTTGGGTACCTGGGAATTCTAGTCAGATGTATGTGGCCTTGTCTTCATTCCCAGGACTCTGGGACTGAGTGCTGCCAGCATGTCCCCAACAATTTATTGTTTGTCATATTGTTTGCGCTCCCGACTTTTCTTCAACAAAATGGAACAATATAGGGACGTATCCTATTTTCCGTTCATCA